TAGTTAATATTGATAAACGAGCAGAGCTCGACATAACTTGACTCAATAGAGTTTCGAGTCTGAGTTTGAGTCTTAAGAACTTCAAACTCAGTTCTGACTCAACTGATTTATACCCCCAAACTATTTAATTTGTCCTTACATGAAATATATTAGCTAATAGTAATCCTGTTCTCATTTGAATTTTAAAACGTTTATGGGCTAACAAACCCAACATCACTTTTCAGTTTTGAAACCACTAGCCAATAAAATTGCCAAACAGATAAAAAAATTAAAAAAAAACTGTCGCTGGCACGGTTTCCTGCACAGTTTGTATGCTGTACAAATAGATGAATTGAGGATGGATTAGGTGAAAAAGAAAAACAAAAATAATAAGAAAATGAAATAAAAGAAAGATGGACATTTGAAAATCTCTAAAAGTCAAAACTCAAATAATACTATTGGCAAAGTCCCTTAGATTTAAATATTAGTTTTCGTAAGCTTCGTTCAACTTATTTGATAAACAAGTTAATCTTAACTTGAACTTGTTTTAAACTTATTTAGATAACGAGTAGGTTCGTTAAGGCTCGTCGAGCTCCAGAATATGAGCTTTATATCATTTTTTGAATTTTTTAACTTGTTTCGAGTTAAAGTTCAAATTTAACTTGTAAATATTGATAAAATAGCATGTGCAATGTACGAGACAACAATAATAAATAATATAAATTAAACAAATGAAGAAATATTAATTAGTATAAAAATAATTTTGAATATTAGTATTCGTTTATGATATCATAGTTTAATATATGATTTTTATGTGTTGATTTCGCCTTATAGAATGGTTGTAGAGTGTCTATTTAGAACCTATATATTATTTTGCTAATCTANCAAAAGATGTTACTTTGCATTAATTAAGTATTCATATTTTTTTTATTTATTTTGTTATATAACAACTACTACTAACTAATCATAAAGTCACATTAAATGGTATTATAATTAATTTTTTTTTTTCAAAAAATTTATTAATTTTATTTTCTGTTTTAATCCATTAAGCAAGTTTTTTTTATTAAGATTAGTTATTTAATTTTTATGATATAACCAAAATTTTGAAAAAAATTGTACACAATTGTTATTAAAATAATAATTTCAATATTGTTTTATCTAATCAATGTTTCATAATAAAAAAAAATTGAAAAAGTTATATAACTGCAATTGATATAAAAATTAATATGTAGGTTAATAGTTTATCGTTCATTTTTACTAATGATAAAATTTATAAAATGTGATATATTATTATCTAACTTATGATTTTAAATATTACATATACATACATATAACATATAAAATTTTATTTATATCTGTGCATGTGCACATAATCGAATGTTAGTAAATATATATGAAGCATAAACATTTAATAAAAATGATATTTAGTAGTGTGCTACATAATTTTCTCTTCTACTTAATGTCCTGTCATTTTGTTTTGAGATGGGCACTTCTCAATCTCAGCCCATTTTCTCATTTAGAAGCTATAAGAAGCACCAAACTCTGCCTTATTATGGGCCGGCCCACCTAGTCTAGTGAAGTGTGTGGAAGGGGACGTTAAAATAATTAAATAATATCAACAATCATTCTTAAAATTACGTCAACTTTAATTTACTATTCATCTATTCATATAATTTTACTAACTATCACTTTCAATCATTTTCTCATACTTTTACATCAAATCAACTTTAATTATTATATTTCAAATATTATTTTAATATATCCACTTACAACTAACTATACTACTTTTTTTCAAACTTATCTATAATTAAAAAAAAACCTAATTTTTTACTAATTGAATTCATATCCAATCACCGCTGAAATGTTTAACAAAAGTCATATAATGTTACATTTTGATATAAGCACACATGATATGACTGATCATATTTTTATTAAGAGAAATGCTACAAGTACATAATAATATACATAGTAATGTACATATGCATCGCATTAAATGAGTCCTACCAAAAAAAAATAGACCCCATCTATGTACATTTATTATGTATTATGGACTTGTAGCATTTTTTTTTTTAATTAAAATTAATAATTCATACACTTGTGTTGTGTACTTTTGTGTGTCATAAAAAAATAAATTTTCCACTTTGCACATTATTTTTATTGACAACTTAAAGAAATTATATTAATTACCATCTTTTAGCCAAGCTTTATTTGCTATTATTATTAGCCAAAGGCAATGCACACTTTCACCTTTCCAAAGAGGGTTTTAGCTCCTGAAGAAAAAAGCTATGCAAACTCTTCAGCTGCCGGCAGCTGGCTCCGGCGTCGGCCGACCTCCTCCGCCGTGCAAGGAGACAGTTAACAGAGCCGTTTCGTGTAATTGCTCTCGCCCATTTATCCGCTTCGATCTTCATTCATCTCCTTCCTCGCTGAAATTGGTCGATGGATTTTCCTCTCCATACTTAATTTTCAATAATCGCAGTGTGAAAGCCCTGGCCTCGGATCCCATTGCTTTTGGTTACAGCCCCCCAAAGGATGAGCCTGATAAGGACAAACTCGCTCAGGTTTCTCTCTCTCATTCTGGCTGTTTGTTTGCGTGCGTTGAGAAAAATTCTATCTGTATGGGTTTTAACGGTTTCACAGAGTCAGTCGATGTGGGTTCCTCAGATCGCTAGGCTATTGATCTTCATTTTTCTGATTGATATTTATGTGGACTTAGGGATTAGGTTGTTTGTTTGAGCTACACGAGTAATTGCAGATCATTTGATCTTGATGAACTGAAACTCTTTATTTATTTTTGGCTACCTTTCTAGTTTGATAATTTTTGAAGCATTTGTAAAAAAAAAAAAATGGTGAATCAGGTAAAATTCTCAGTAAGGAAGGTAGGAGATCAATTCAAGATTTTTGGTAATGGAAATTCTGATTCAGTTATTGTCCTGAAATTAACAAAAGTTAAATAAGACTAGAGGTATAAACGAGTCTAGCGGAGCTTGAGGTTCTGATAGTCAAGCCCGGGCTCGAGAATTGAGACAAGCTAACAAGCTGATAAACAAGCTTGAGCTTGAGCTCAACTCGCTTATCAATGTTAACGAGCCGAACGAGACTTAACGAGTTGAGCTAAGGTCATAATTCAGAAAATTCGATAAAACCCCTGTTTCGACAAGCTCGTCTCGATTGATAAATGAGTTGAGCTCACAAGCTGCTCATTTCATGTTACAGCTCTTAACAAGACAAAAGACTGTACCATTATATAACCCAACTGTATCAATTAATCGGGTGAAGTTCAAGGCCCACCTCAGAAATTCCCTTATGGATATCTGTTTTTGAATTGTGACTTTAAATTTTTTAGGTTTCGATGAGATTAGAGAAGACATCAAGGTATTTCAAGAGGTTGGGAAGCTTTGGATTTTGGGCACAACTAGTCTCCACATTTGTAGCTGCCGTGATTCTTTCTTTTTCAACTGTTATTACTGGGAAGGTAACATCACCCGCCACCTTTTATGCAACGGCCGGCGGCATTGCAGCTGCATTTATTTCTGTCTTTTGGTCTTTCGGCTATATCCGGCTGTCCGTTAAACTCCGTAAAACAGCAAATGATCCTTCGAAGGTAATAATTACGAGCTTTGAGCACATCTTTCACTGCCTATGGCTTCATTTTTCATTTCAATTTGCTTTAACCACGGTTTCGATTTGGTAATTAACTCAGACTTCAAAGCAATAGCTTTGTAAAACTAAGCATTTGAAGAGTGGATGAGGAGGTTTATGGACTTACGATAGATCATTATGGAAAAGAGCTGAAAGAAAAGAACAAAATAAGTAGTTCAATGCACTGTACCCGAGTTAAAATGTGTTAGAAGTTTATATTCACTTGGCTTAAAGTATCATATTTCATGCCCTTGGATTTCTTGGTTACAACTTACACCCACCCATATGACCAATGGAAGAGAGTAAATTCATAAATTTTCAAAATCTACGCATTGACAGTTGACATAAAGACTATATCAAGTTGTGAAGACACTGAGAATTTGTGCAAAGTTGTAAATTCATAAATTTGGCAGATTTTTCTTTTCTCATGACTATGTTCAGATTCTTTATTATGAACTCGATAAAAGATTTGTCTTCTTTTTCAGGCACCTCCTCGTGCGGATGTTGTGAAAAGATTGAAGAATGGCATAATCGTAAATCTATTGGGAATGGGTGCTGCTGTACTCGGCATGCAAGCGACTGTTGGCTTGCTTGTGGCGAAAGCTCTCACGTCTAATCCTTATTATCGGGGCATCTCTCCTGGGAACACTCCCGTTCTTGCCTTGGATGTGTTCTTGGTCCAGGTGTTCTTCCTCGACTCATTACGAACACATATTTTTTATTTTTTTCGCTTACACCAATATTTAATTACTTCTATTATTCGTGTGCATTTTTAATGTTCTTTGTTGTGTGTATTTGATGAATTTCAAAATAAATTTGTATAAATTTGTTTGTCTTATGTTGTTTTGCAGGCATGTGCAAACACCATACTTTCGCATTTTCTGGGGCTCGTGTGCTCCTTGGAGCTACTTCGTTCGGTCACATTATCACCTACCCGACCTTCTCCCATTCCCAAAGTTAACTGAGCTCTTCCATTATAAGTTTTATGGTAGAAGCAGAGCTTGAAATGGATCTGTTTTTTCTTTTTCCTCGATAAATTGCCATTTGATTTGTAGTTAGCAGGATAACGTATAGTTCATTGTTTCTGTATGAGTTTTTCCTGTGTTAAATGTTGTTGTAGTTCACTTGTGCTTCAATCAAACATAAATTGAATGTTCAGCGATCCCAAAAGCAAACACAGAATAACACATATGCCATGTCCTTCATTTGATGGTTATACTTTTATATATACCTGCAAATTTGAGGACGTTAAAGCTGTATGAAATTATCTTTTAGTGGCCCATCCAAATACTGAATTCTTCAGAATTTCAATATCTGAAACTTTTTCGACTTTCAGACTTTTGNGAAAAGAAAAAAAAAACAGACAAAAAAAGCTATATCTGACATTTATTTCATGCACAAACTGTAAATCAACAAAACTATATCCATAAAATGAATAGTTTGAATTATGAACTCCGAATTTTCTAAACTGTAATGGAGTATCATATCAAGTACGATTACAAATCTGCACAAAGGGAACACTTGTACCAAATTACCAATACATACATCCAACAGAGTGAGGTTAATATTTATCTACTAGAGAGAAGTAGCAAGAGAGAGGGGATAGAGAGATTACAGTGAGACTATTGGATCTTCTTCTCCTTGTTTGAATGCAACGGTATGTTGTTCAGTAACTTGTCTTCAATTTTCTGGAATTGTATCTGAGCTATTTTATATGCTGCATTCAGCTTCTCGTCAATCAGGATTTGGTGCTTTTCATACAATAGGGGCAGTGACAAACAAAGAAGAACGCCTATTTCCACAAAAACCGCAACAACAATTATTGATAACACATATCAATTCACTAGCATGGCCATTGCTAAAAATTTTTTAGACTTACCAACGTATACCAGCGTGAGAAAGTCAACTAAACCACCAATGCACGAAATAACCGACAAACCTATTGCAAGCTAAAAACAACAACAACACAAGTACATTAAACCCGTCCAACCGGTCACAACACCCAATCGAGACTCATTAAAGCAAGTATAGAAATTTACCTGAATGAAAAGTCTCAAGTTTCCACCAATTGCAATGTCGTGTGCAATAGACAATACTTGATTCACCCAGACTCGAACCTCATCAGCTGCCTTCACAACAATTTCTTCAGAAAGCTCGAGATTCGGAACAGGAGGAGGTGGTCTAAAGTCATGAGAACAGTCCATTTGACAATGTTTTTACCAGAAAATCAAGAAATTACAAACCGTAAGCTTTAAATAAAATCCACCAAATATGTCAAACCCAGAAAAGCCCAAAATAATATGTTGAAAATTATGCTACTGCAATACCATAATGAACATCTAATAAGGATATATTGTTTATAAATAAATGTACCTACTAAGAAGGGAAGCAGATTTAGCCCAGAAGAACAAGATCACCACAGATAAGAACAACGAATAGGACACAAAAGACATGAAACTGTGTCCAGATCTCACGAATATGAACCACAGAGAAGTAGAAGAGACCAGCAAAACGAGACTCCGGTGCCATTTTCTCCATAGAAACAGGTCAGCAACTGCAATACGAAAAAAAGGGGGGAAAAATGATTTACAGTTATCAATCGATATAACGATCGGCGAAGATTAATCATTGGAATCGAAGGATATGGCATAAATGGATCATTAACCGTACTGAGGGAAACAAAAAAACACCTACAGGCAAAGTTACTTCGAGTGATAAGGATTGCAATTAAAGTACCTGCGCCGCCACCAAGGGCTTGATGAACAGAGCATTGAAGAGGCTCGTCCATGGCGGCTGGGGATTGTGAGGGGCGGAGACAGCAGGTGTTTGCAAAGCGAGGGAGATTTCGTGAGAAAAAGTTGGCAACTGATACTTTTTCTTAGGTCTGGATTTAATCTGTTCATCATCAAAAAGCATTTTCCTTATAAAAAGGNGGCTTAGCCAGTGACGAAGTCCATCTGGGGAGTATAAAGTCTGTGGAAACCAACCGAGAAGGATGAAGCAAGGCTCGCGAGATGATCGGCCGCAAAATTGGCTTCTCGATGGACATGTTGTATCTGAATCCTCCAATCCCATCGAGTCATCCGTCGGATCTCCTTAACCAGCGCTTCATGTGGGCCGGCATAGTTCGCGGATCCAAAGACCAGCTGGGTCACGCATTGGCTATCCACCTCGGCTACTACTTTACGAAAGCCCAAACCTTATGCCAGCTGGAGTCCTTGAAGAAGACCCCAAAGTTCGGCTCCCGTGATGGTACAAGCCCCAACATTCATGGTAAAACCATCAATCCATCGACCCATCTCATCCCGGATTAATCCACCAGCATTGTCTAGCCCCGACAAAGAACCAAATGCCCCATCCGTATTCACCTTCAACCACTCCTCTGCCGGCGGCCGCCAACCTACGAAGCGGGTATCGTACGTATCGACTAACTAGTTGGACCGTGTTTAATTTATTAAATACTTCTAATATTGTATAGTATTTTAAGTAATAAATTTTATTTATAAAATGATATTATTAATTAAATTTATAGTTTAAACCATACAAACGCTTAAATAAACTGATACAATAATTTTTGGAACGTTATGGCGATTTTACCCATATTATGAAATCATAAATTTAAAGATATAGTTGAATAAGTCGAGTCAAGAGTTCAAAATAATATATGATTAAGTTAAAAACTCGGGTATGTGAAAAAAAAATTAGCATTTGGTGCTGAAACACAATTCGGTTATCCCGTGTTTCAGGTTTTAAGCAGCTTCCATGCATGTTGTGACTCGATTCTCTCAAGAATATAATAGACAAGTAGACATACGTCTTCAAGATGCAACGATTTGATACCACAGTGCAATAAACAGCACATAGGTCAAGCAACATTTGGAACCAATTAACCGAGAGCTCGACAGTCACAGTTGTAAAATTGCCTCGGCCATCACAAACTATCATGCTAAAAGAAGCTTTATAACCAAGGTTGTTCGAATAAACAGGAATTCGCCACTCAGTATGCCCGATAATAACCCAAATCCAAACACAAGGGCAATTTTTTCTCAGTCGATCGCTCAAAGCAAACATGAATTTTCGCAAACTAACTCTCGATCATATCACTAGGTTTTACTCATTATCCATGTCTCCGTCCTCATCTGAAGATTGTTGTTCATTCTGATGGTCTTGCTCCCCTGCACCATCCGGTTTGCCTGTTTTTGCTCTCTTTTTCTGCTTTTTCTTCTGTCGTTTTATGCGCTTTTTCGCCGTGCGTTCTTCGGCTGCTTTTAGTCTTTCTTCCCTTCTTTGGTTGAATTCAGCTATTTCTTTCCTTTTCTGGAAGTCAGCATCCATTCTCATCAGCCGGTCTTGCTCTTTTCGTCTCATTTGACGATACTGTATATCCATCAATACCACAATAACAAACTCGGTTAGACGTATTAAATAACAATTAAATAAAATGAAAATAACAAACTCGGTTAGACTATGCGAGTTGAAATGAAACAACACGAGATACACTGGAAACAACAAAGAGATGATGAATATGGAATCCCAAGCATGGGAAATGGCCTGTCCTTCAAGAGGCTAATGACTATAAAAGCTTAAGAGAATAAAAAACTTAAGTATATTCTCAACATATAGCTCAAGCATAAAGGAAAACAGAACGGATGACTTATTATTTATTCAAGAATATATCCCGTCATATGCTAGCAACGACAAATTCTTGTGTGAGGCAACCTAACAATTAGACGGGTCGAACCGTCACACTTTTTTAACAAAATTGCAGAAAAATGTCGTAATTTTGTCTGATGTTTTCTAAAATATGTCATTTGTGTATAAAAGTATTACATATGTGTGAAAAATTGTAACTTGGCAGCAGCTTTACGGGCTAGCAACACACTTCCATGGCATAACACAACATTGTTCTATAAAGGTTATTAATAATATGAGAACTTTCCTAAAAGTAGAACAAAATTGGAATTCGTGAACATCGTTCATGTTCCAATGAACACCCATCCTCCTTCTCTAATCAATCTTACGATAGTCTTTTTGATTCATGCTTCTTTCGCTCGAGATTAGTTTCTCCAAAAAAAAAGAAGTACTCGATAACAATACAATTTCTACCAGAGTTGTTTCATAAAACATGAATTGATGCTAAAAGAAAATCTTTCTATAGGCTATAGGATCATTAACAATGGAATACAACTATGACTATCTTGATCGATCTTACAAAGCAAATGGAACTGCAACATTGTTGCTAAGTACAACATACTCTGAAGCACATATAATCTCATATCAAATTAGCAACATTATGTTCGATTTTAAGCTCATGAAGATGTTTTCGATAATGCTCCATTACAGCTTAACTTACTAACCAGTAACCACAATTAATCAAGGAAAATGCAAATTCCAATCAGCTAAAATACCAAATAGAAAAACAACATTTGCCCTAATTCTCAGTAATAACTTCTTAAAAAGTAAGAGTAACATTTCACGGACACAACTGGCTATTCGTACCTGATGAAAATCGCCGGAGCCAGAGCCGGCGGAGCTGCCAGAGGTGTTGCTGACGCGAACAGGGACACACTCGATAATCCGTCGGAGCTTAATTTCAAGGTCCTCGTCCTCGGGGTTGGCGGCCGGCGGCGTGTACTCAACCAGAGCCGAGGATGAAGAAGAAGACGGTGGACGCGGTGGAAGAGCTGCCGGAGCCCTCTCCGGTGCCGGAACCACCTGAAGGTCTCCTGCAGCAACGGACGCCGCTCTGTTCAACGACGACGACGACATCCGATAATTTGTCTACAAAACCCTGAAACCTAGGGTTTCAGATTTCGAAAAATAATGGGATCGACGACGAGGATTTGACGCCGACGGCGACGATTAGGAATCAGATGATTGGATTATAAACTCAATGCGCTTGCTCAGCGTACCTAAACTTTCAGCCTGATTTGGGGTCATAACCTTCAATAGTGAAGGACTATGAACTATGGAACTTGCACAAGAAACATTAAAAATTTATATAAATCATAAAAATAATTAACATTAGTTTGATCACCAACCTGTATGTAATAAGTCTAGTCATCAACCTGTATATAATAAAGATCTTAACTGGTAAAATCACATGTCTACATATATTTAAACAAACGAAAAAAAAAAAAAAAANAAAAAAAAAAAAACAATTAGAAAAAGTTTGAATTCAGGCTAACATGTGCCCGAACGAACAATTTGCATCACAAAATGGGCCAAAGTATAATAAACACAAAACGGCTACTAATCTGAACGAAAGGTAGCCAAGCTTGTCCATCCACACTAAAATACGTAGGCGAAGAGGGACGACGTCAGGGTGAAAAGTGAGCCTCTGGGAAATGGTGACTCCGAGACTAAGCAGGAAATTAACGGGTCGGTTCCCTTCGCAGAAGAAGTGCGAGATCCCATAGCAAGTTGACTGAAGTGTGGATCTGATTCGCATGAGCGGGTGTTGAATCTGCCACGAGCCTTGGTGGCCCGAGGTCAAGAGGGTGGCAACAGCGACTGCATCTAAATCAATCCAAATGTGAGTAGAGATAGAGACTGCAGTTTGAAGACCGATCTGTAGCACATGAACCTCTGCGTCGTAGCTCGAGGGGGCCTGAAGAGGGGCGTGAAAGGCGGCAGTGAGAGCTCTTTTGTAATCCCTAATCAGACTCCCGCCTCCATCGGCTCCGGTGAGTCAGTTGAAATATTTGTCGGTGTTTAGCTTAACCCAAGAGGAGTCAGATCTCAGCCAAAAAACGACTCTGGGCGAGAGTGCCGGACATGTGGCGGGACGGCGTATAGTCTGTTCAGTCTCTAGGTGTGAAATTTAAGAGATCTTGGATTCAATTTTTGTTTTCTATACTTTCTTTTTTTTTAAAAAAAAAAAAAATCATTGTACTTCTATACCTGTTAATATTTAAGACTTCCTGTTCGTTTTCTTCTTCTTTGTTTTTTACATGTAGGGATATTGTTGACTTGAAGGCTGTCTTTGATGTTTGTTTGTTTTCTTGGTTTGTTTAGGCTAGTAAGCCTCTTAGTTAGCCATGTTGGCTTTGAGGGGAACAACTGTGTGTTGCCCCGTTTGTTTAACCAGTTGGTTAACCATCTGTACATTCTTGAGTTTAGTTATAAATTTACGCGTTTCAGGGAAAAAAAATAAAAAATTTGACATTTTTATGTTACAAAATATTAAAATGAATGCTTAGAAAAAAGCATTTTTGAATTGTATTTAGAGATGGCCAACACCAGTTCCGGGCTAAGGGTCGGTCATCCCTAAACTGGCCCGAACATATGCACGGGGCCGGTTCGGTGAACCGTCGGTTCCAAGTCGGCCGGTTCACTCAAAAGTATATAAGAAATAATGAAAATTGAAAAGAAAAAATAAAGAAAAGGTTTGAACTTTCAGTTCTTGTTCGGAACAGCCCGGCGATTCAAAAAGTATGTTTATGTGCTAAATCGGCTTGGTCAAACTTCAGGCCCAGGCCCATTGAGCACAAGCTGGTTCTATCTACTGTTCTCCGTGGCCATTCTTGATTGTATTTGACTTATTGAATAAAGTGAGAGATTGAAAAAAAAAAACAAAAGATTGAGTGGAAATTTGGACTTGATTTTGAATTTGACGATGAATATGAATAAATAATGATTGTAAATGAATGAAAGTTAAATATATGTGAGTGGATAAATAGTAAATTTTGTTGGAAATGTGTAGCAATAATTAATTGATATTTTTAATTATACTGATAATATTAAGGAGATTTATTAAGTTAAATTCAATTGTGTTTGAATTTTGAGTTAAAAAAAATTATATCCAGTTATAATATCGTTAAAAAATAAACTTTAAGACAAACTCATTATTTTATCTTTTACTTCCAACTCCCATGGTTTTGTAGTTCACTAAACTTTAAATCAATTATTAGATGTACAAATGGAGTTATGATTTTTTTACTGGAAAATCGGTTACCAATCCGACGGAATGGTTTCGTAACGGGACTGTAGAATCTCCCTTTTTTACAGCTCTTAAAATAGTCCCTTAAAAACCACGCACACAAAATAAAATAATAAACAAAAAATATCCATCATTGAATCTTTTTTTTTGCCAGAACAATAAAGATATTATAAAAAACGAGAGCAGCCACCAGCTGAATACAGACGGTCAACAGAATACACACAGCCAACATCTGAATCAAAACCATCAAAAAATAACCAAAAAAAGAAAAAAGAAAAAGAAACAAACTCCATTTCCATAAAACAGAGAAAACAGGACTACCATTAATAATCAATTCCCTTGCATATGGTTCGATGAGATCCACGAGCCACTTGCCGGTGGTGGTGGTGGCGCTCCTCCTCCTCCTCCGGCCATCCGCCGCCAGTGGCCTCGGCAGCCTCTTCCCGGAGATCGAGATTACCCTCGCGAACGATGGCCTCTACCCTGTTTGGTTCATGTGCCAAATGACGGACCACGCAGATTCACTATACGAGCTCTCCCCAAACTCCACATACCGATTCGATTTCGAGCAGGTCGCATTTCCCATGCGGTGGTGCTACCTTTACATAAGCCAAACGAGCCACGGGTTTTTCTGGGCTTTTACGGTTAGGTCGAGATGCACAAAGTGCTTCTGGAGCATTAACCGACACCCGTCTCTTTATAGGGCTGATAAGGGCCGGTGGGAAAGGCAGAAGCTTTTTATGCCGCCCGATTTTAACATCACACGATATGTCAAAAGCGGCAATAAGGACGATTCGGATTCGGATGGGTCTGATAGCTGATTATGATGATGATGATGACAAAAGCAGCTGGAATTGGATGTTTTTGATGATTTAATGAGTGAGTGCCTAATATATATATGTGTGTGTGGTTAATTGGAATTGATTTGGCAATGGAAAAATTTTACACAAATATATAGCTAATTGATATATTTTGTGGAATTAATATGGTTTCTTGCATGGACTGGGGCTGATGCAGGGATGTTTTGATTCAGAACGAGGTAGATGGCTTCACAAATGTTTTGTAGTCTT